AACTCAGTGAATTTGCAATGTTTTGAGCAATATTTTTAAAGCATAACATTGTGTTTTCATCATGGATTTTGAACATCCAGCAGAGTCTTTTAACAGATCATTTGGCATTTGAAACTGAAGCTAAGTAGACTGTCAAGTTCTAGCAGACCTTAGAAAACCTTCTAACTTATAAATGACCTTATAAATACCGCGAAAGAGCCTAAATCCATCGAGTATTTCAGTCGGTGCAACCGTTCGCCGATTGGAAGAGGAAGTCGCAGATGCTAAGGCTACTGTGGCGACACTTGAGGGCGATTTGGAGAGGACGCAGTCTCGTTTGAACACTGTAGAGGAACAATACAACGCGGCCCAACTCGAGAACAACAAGCTACGTGCCGAAATCGACACCCTCAACCGACAGATTGATGTGCTGAAGGTAGGCAAAATTCATTGCTCACCTGAAATTATTTTTGGGAAGAGAGACTGAAATTAAAACTTCGGTCGATTGGTTCGTGAACAAATCCACAGAAATGGAAAAGTGATTCCTTTGAAGGATATGTGGGATCTTATGTGGGATAACCGGAACCATTCGGATTCTAGTTGATTGATGGAGTTTTCAGAACACGAACGCATCGCAAGTGAGCGAAATCGAGCGTCTCAAGAAGAAGGTCACCCAGCTTACCGATATCAACAAGCAACAGACGGATGAGATCGATAAACTCCGAACTGAGGTTCGAAAAAGTTTCAAATTTCAAATTTCACGCTGATATCGCAGCTCAGTGTTGAGCTATACAAAGAAGATTAGTTCCAAAACCAATCAGATCAATCAGATCAAATGAATTTATCCGGAACCACTTGGACTTCAACAGTCCTCTATTATGATGACTGTTTTTTGGTCGCAATTGCTAAAATTACGGGATTTTTTTCAAAAATCTTCCAATATTCTGTTGAAGGATGAACCATCTCAGTCGCTGAGATTCTTCAGTTTCTTATGTAGTCCTGAGGTATTCAAGATAATCCACGTCGTGATCTCATCCTAACGTTTCAGCGCGATCAATTGGATAAGGCATACCGCGAGAAGGCCAAACAAGTCGAGCAATTAACCGATCATGTGAAGACATTGGAAAGCCGTATCGACCGTATGCNGTCTGATAAGGTGAGACACGAAAAGAGCCGAGAAGATTTCCACGTCCATTAGAATTAATTCTAACAAAATATTACTTTAACATCAATGCCCAAAGCCAGCTGATTGTATGCTGGAAACTAGAGAAACCTGAAGATTTTTGAAGCTAAATCCTGCTGTCAAGCAAACTAAGCCAGCAATGGAGCACTCTCGATGGTACCACCTGAAATTGTGTGCTAATTTCAGGTGATCACCCTTCAAACCGAACGCGATTCACTCAAGAACGAGGTCAACAAACTGCAGCAGGAGTTGCAATTCACCAAGGATCAACTCCAACGCAAGACCGACGAGTTCCACACGGCACTGAACGACTTGGCGAATGCGCATCGTACGGCCGAGGAAGGACGTGTGAATGCCTTACAGGATCTGGAGAGCAAAAAGTTCGAAATCAGCGACTTGCAGGTATCTAAATCAGTATCTCTTGAAGCTTTTGAAATGATTGGGATTGGGAAGGTCACCACTGACAATGAGCTGGATCCTCGCTAAATTTTGCTTAATCAATGCAAACTCTCCCCATTGGCATTTGCAAATCTCAGATATAATTCTGAAAGTAAAAGTCTGATGTGGCGGGTGTTTGGCCAAGAAATCTCACGAATTTGCAACGTATCTGGCTGCAAAAAGTAAATTAAGATTCTGAAGCAACAAAACTGCATTTAGAATGGAGACGACCACAAAAAGGCAACCACAATGAATAGTTTCGGCTGAAGAGGCTGGATAGTAAGCCAATCGCTCGTGAAACTTGTTAAGAGCCAGGGAATTTTTGAGGCTAAATCCTGCCTGATCAGACTGAGAGCTATTAGGGTTTGAAATATCCGCTTACAATCTCGTTTGCAGTCCCGTCTCGACAACGCAGAGCAACGCTTGGCCGCTCTTCAACAAGAATATCTGAATGTGGAC